AATAATAATAGGTTGCGTTTTTCTAGTCGGGCTTACCAATGTAGAACTATGGTCTACTATGATATTAGTACTGCTCTAATAATAGACCTAATCCCAAAATTGTAGATTCGTCATGATATAACTGCCTAATCTATAAGATCTTACGTGGAAGTCACACCATCGACTACACCAACTCACTGTATCGTATCAATTACCAATATATGATGAGGGATAAGGTTAGGCTAGAGAAAGAACAATATATTTAATATGAATAGAAGATATACAGTAACACTGAGATGGACCACGCCTGCATGGACGAGCCATGCCACTCGATCAACTCCAGTCCATTCAATTCATTCTTCGCGCCTTCTCCATTGTTGGGTATTTCCCCGAGTTAAATATTGAATATCTATTTTCTGAGTAGTCTCGTGTTCACAGCTTTGTGGATTGTGTGGCTATTGTCCAATGCCACTACAGATTTATGTGATATATTAACGCAATACATCTCGAATAATCTGATGGTTGCAGAAACAGACAGAATCAAATGACCCAATAAGAATAGAGGACAATTATCAATCATTATCTATTGCCAAACATAATTGAAACAGGTCACAAGATTGATCTTAACTCAGCTTATGCGGTAATGTGCAAAAGTGTAAAAAGGCGTACACTAAGGTTTACAGAAGCGTTAACCATACGAAAAATCAAGCCCTCTTTGTGTATTCAAAAAGCTTTTTTTAATTGTTATATATAAATGCTCTCAGCAAATATATGTGTGATCAGATTGTTCGAAATGTATTGTGCTAATACACCACTTAGCTTTGATAATCTTCGTCTCCTTATTACACTACGGAATTTATGAAGAAGAATTATTACCTTAAACTTCCTATTTCCATGATTATTTTTTTCAAAAGAGCAAGATCAAAGATTCTAGCAGAATAACATGAATTCATTTTATTTCGTAGGTTCTCGTCAGCTGCTTACAACCTATAGTATTTAAAAAGATAATAATTACATAATGGGTTTGAATTGCTTACATGAGAGGGTTTATATTTAAGAAATATTCGTAAAGTATGACATGGGTGTAAATGAAATTAATAGGCTGAATATTGTAAATATATACCTAATGTGAAAGAATATTCCAGAGCATTAATTGTGACAACAGTTCAAAGGGGTAGAAACAATTGATTACATAATGAATAAACATTGATAGGAAGAAGGATTGATGAACGTACAAAAATGCCTACGAGACAACTATTACCCACAAAAGTTTATTGAAAAATGTAAAAAGCGTAAAGAAGATAATACTGAAGTAATTACCGTCAATAAAAAACCAATAACTATAAGTCTAAACTTCAAAGGTGACGAGGTTGCAAAACAATCAACAGGAGACTGAATACTGCGCTAGCCAGAACCTATCCGGCGGCCAAACTTCAAATTCTTTATAAAACAACATGTTCATTAACTCAATCAAAGGTTGATAAGCATCCTTTTCATGTTACCGCCAATTGTATTTATAAATTTACATGTACCTGCCAAAGCAGCTACATTGGCCGAACAGAAAGGAGGACATATCTCAAATTTTTTGAACATGTTCCAGAAAACCTCAGAACAAGAGAAAGAAAGACTCTAAGTAGCGCAACCACTAAACATCTGCTTGACACAGGCCATCATGTTGACACCCTACAATCATTCAAGGTTATTAGTAAGCAGCCAAACTCCAGTCTTCTGAAGTTTGCTGAAGCAGTTGCTATCAGGCGCCAAAAACCTGATTTATGTGTTCAGAAGATGATTGTTAATCTTTCCCTGCCTTGGTGACAAATATTCTTCCGCTGCAGCTTAAAATTTTTTAATTTTAATTTTATCTTTTATATTTATTACGTCATTGATTTTATTTTTTCAACTATCTTTAAAAAATTAATAGTCTTTCAACTGAACTCTACTCACTATGTTCCTATCAATGTTTATTCATTATGTAATCAATTGTTTCTACCCCTTTGAACTGTTGTCACAATTAATGCTCTGGAATATTCTTTCACATTAGGTATATATTTACAATATTCAGCCTATTAATTTCATTTACACCCATGTCATACTTTACGAATATTTCTTAAATATAAACCCTCTCATGTAAGCAATTCAAACCCATTATGTAATTATTATCTTTTTAAATACTATAGGTTGTAAGCAGCTGACGAGAACCTACGAAATAAAATGAATTCATGTTATTCTGCTAGAATCTTTGTTCTTGCTCTTTTCAAAATGATAAAGGGAACTATGTGTATGAAATTATTTTTTTCCTTTTGTTCTTTTAGAACACTGATAACGTAACGCACTGTGTCTTCAACGTCCGTATTATAAACTCACAATGCTGGCTTGTAATAAGGCTTATCGAGTCAGTTCAAAGTAACCGCCATGAGACCTTTATGGTCATTATGAAACTATCTGTTTTCGATTCTCTGTGCTGCACACAAAATATGACAGCAAATGGGCATCCAGGTTTCTTATAAACATTTTTAGTTACAATTACCTGTTACAACATATAGATCGAAATATCAGCAAACACAAGGTAGAAGCAGTAAATGGCAGTTGAAAAACTAAGTTTCTTGAAACCGAGTTGCTGTGTGTCCAAAACGTTGAGTTTTGTCATGATGATCTGTTAGCACGAGGTATTTGGCTGAAAGCGAATAAAGATTAACAATGTACTCAAATGGAACCCAAAAATGAGAAACAATCAGTCAAAATTCAACCTCACAATAGATTCTAGTGACTGAACGTGCGTAAATGTTGTATCTGCATCTGCGCCACTAGGTTCATAGTCCTGAATTAAAATCGTCATTTGAGTATGATGTGACCGCCAAAACTATGTTAGCTAGCATGAAATTCGTATTACTGCTATTCTTGGTTTGCCCTAACGTGGTCACAAGGTGACTCGGTTCTTCACGAACCTTTAAAGAACAAATAAAATTTCGTTCGTAAGATGTTATATTTAGGATAAAGATCAAATTTTCAAGTAGCCTGACCCCTCCATGCATTTCTGCGTTGCGCACACTCCGTATTCTTCTGTCACTGACTTTTTTTATCTCCAAATTTCCATTCGCTGTTCAAAACCAAGTGATTAACCTTCTTATGCAGAAAAACATTCTACTTGAAAAGCTATAACTGTAAGATTCAGATTTATTCCGCCCTTCCTAATAACATAAAAGTGTAAGAAATACAAAGTAACTTCAGATAATAATTCTTGTTTCTAAAGCCTGTGTTCTTTCAGTTTACTTGAATTTGCCCCGGACCCCAAAATATACTGAAGTTTAGGGACACCTTCTCCTTCAGAAAGGTCAGATTTAAGAGTTTAGTGCCGGCTATAGCAAGAAATTGATTTTGACGGATCATTCTAAAACGCAGTGTTACATTGGCAGAAAATTAGTTAACGTTGGCCATAACGATAGTAAAGAGTACACTACACGTTCTATAACAAAGGTTTAAACATGACTGTATATTACGGTTAAAAAGTGGCTGAGCATTACAATCTAGCAATTGCTTAGGGAAAAATAGCGTTTACTTTGAGCTGTCTCAAGTCACTTTTACAGAGAAATATTTGGAGTTCTATATAACAGATACGTTATATTTCATGTTGCGTGTTATGTTCAAGCGAATAGTCTATATATTGAGTAAGTACTGAGTCAAGGCTATTACAAATAGACTCATAAACCTCTTTAGATAATACAAAAACTAGTATTTCGGTTTTAATAAAGATTTAGAGCGTTGAATAAACCAACTTCAAACCTTCATTTCTGCTACTTAATCTCAGTTTATTCTTACGCAACTACAAATGTAACCAAGGCTAAACCAGAGTATACGTAAGATCAAGTAGTTACGAGTGACCGAGTGAAGATTGCTTTCTTAATGTAAGCGTTATCACAAATGATTGCTACTATTTGTATGCATGTTTCTTACATATAGCGCTATTTATTATCAAATTATCTTTATGCTACCACATGTGTCACGATTGTAGCTTGTAAGTACTAGGGGTTTACTGGACAGTCGTAAGAGTACTTTTAGGAATCGACTATGGGAGTAGTTAGTTCAAGCTTTTGAAGCCAAGAAAAAAGGCAACATACCGTTTCAACTTCGGCTGTACCGTACAGAGAGAAGCATGAATAACGACTGTATAAACTGTAATTCATAGACAACTGTGTAGATATGAGAGGGACTTAAATATGAAAGGCTGTTCGTTGTTTTGTAGGGTAATGCCATATCGTTCCTTAAGAGAGGACGGTATCAAAGCTCAGAGAACAGCAAGCCATATCTATCTATTCATTGCAGAAAGTAGTCAGGGATGTCTGGAAACCACATTTTGACAATTGTACATTTTCGTCACTTGTGTCTTCGATATAAATCAACCGTGCCATCTCTTCACCCATATACTTGGGGAGATAGTTTGGTAGATTTGATTTTGACAGTGCCTCACCAGGTCAAAACAGATACAGCCAAGACAAAAGCCAACCTGAAACTTAATGTGTTTAACTACCTTAGGTATCTAACATGCTGAACATAAGTTCATCCATTCTCTCACAACATTATCTACTCTGACAGTCTTGGTCGAGACTTTCCGCAGACCCGTCGAAATTTCGTAGCGCCGTAGATAGTTGCAGTAGTAAAATAAAATCCGATAGTATATAATTGAAAGAAATAGTTAGTAAACGAATAATTAGATTTAGACAATTAATATGTTGCTAGTTAAAATAATCTACTGAAGGTTTATACACCCATCTGACCAATGCTACAGCTAAGTTATAAGTGAGACATCAACCCTATACTTGAGACTAAGGTTTACTATGCCTTTTTCGACAACCCACCCTCAATATTTCAGCTGGTGAGTGACCGTTATAGCAACCTGACAAATGCCAACGTTAGTCTAAAAAACTCTTTGAGCTAGATTGGATCGGCGAATAAAATGGTTAAATGATTCAGGCAACTACTGAACCTTTCCACATTGTAACTGTCTGCTGTACCTTTGCCTTGTTTAGCTGGTTAGTGTTAGGCACCGCGCAATTTAAAAAACCAAGTGGTCATGGTACGTTTCCAGTCTTTGGCTAATAGTATGGCTTTAGGGTCGAGTTCGAACAAAAACAGTGAAGAAAGCCGCGAGGTTTATAATCGAGAGGTTTTACTCCAAGCTGACAAGAGACTTTCACACAAACAAATTTGTTTGTCAAGACATCGCATGCATTGGTTCTAAAAGATTGCGTAACATGATCGCAGGTTATGTGACACATTTAATGAAGCGTTTCGAAGCGGGACCTGTACGTGGTATTAGTATTAAGCTTCAGGAAGAAGAAAGAGAACGAAGGGACAACTACCAGCCAGAGGTCTCAATATTTGATACTATGGCCATTGAAATCGACCCCGTAGCACAGGAAATGTTGCAAAGCATGGTATGTACTTTCGTTGTATTAACGGTCTTTCTTTCAGAACGTTGCACATGCGAAGAACATGCGTTCATTTTTACCTGCTGTGAAGTAAATTTTTATCCAAATAAACTGGTTTGCAAACTATGTGGTCTTTTCAGTGGCTTTAACATTCTTAAGTAATAAGTACTACTTAGTTTCGTTCATTCACTGCTGGTCTTGGGCCATGTTATTAGTCAAAAGCTTTGCTTGTAAATGTTGATCGTCTTTGTAAGACGCATTTAATCTATTTCATGACTGAGAATTTTTTAATTCTTGTAACCCCTTGCAGAGGTCGCCGGCCAGTTGTCTGCAGTCTACTCTGCTCATGCATCTACATCCCAGTTTCTGTCGAGTAATATTCCTCTTTTTGAAAGTTATCTCCGATTACTTATGCATTGCCTTCGGTCTGTTTCAACTTTGCCTTCAGGATTTGGAGTTGAGGCTTGCCTAGTAATTCGGTTATGTGGTTTTTGTTAAGTGTAACCTACGCACCTCCACCTAAGTTCCTCGGCTGGAATCTGTTTCGTTCTCTGATACAGCAGGTTATTGTTGCTGGTGTCTGGCCAATAGATCCGTAGTATCTTGCGTAGACAAGTGTTTATAAATACATTCACCGTTTTGATGATGGTTGTATTGGTTCCCAGCTTCATATAGCGAGACTACTTCGACGTTTCTATAAGAAATTCTGATGTGTTGGCTAACAGTTGTTATAATCCTCGTCTGTTTTTGAAATGTACAGATAGTGCTTTCACTTTCCCAATCCATGTCTTTATATTCCGGTCTGGCCTCCTTGTTTATCGGTGATACTGCCAAAGTAGAAGCTTCCACCCATTCCGAGGCTCCTTAATCAAGTGATTTGTCTGGTTCTCTGTGATGTAATTTAGGGTCCTAATTTTTCCTTTCTGAGTGTTGAGGTCCACTCCTACTATACTACCCCCATTGCTTGCTGTGTATGGGGTAGGTGGTTCAAATCATCTGCGGAGTCCAAAACTAAGTATGTGGTGTGGTACGTTCTGACGTCGATTCGATCTCTGGCGGTTTCGGATTCGTTTTCTATAACCTAAATCTCAAGTCTCATACGTTGAATTTTCATCAATCGATTAGATTCTTGCCCTACGTGCAGTACTTGTCATTTTAACATGTATGATAGCAATGACTATGTTCCAGTTTTAACCTTGTAAACGGACTGTCCCTTTTTTAATCTTAGATTTCTATTTGGATATAGAAGTCGGCACTAAGAAACTGCTTCCGGACTACTGATGTTCTGAACGTTCAGCTGTTAAATACTGCTTGAAGACTTGTATATCATAGCTGGTATCATCGTTCTGTTAGTCCAGCGAGCACATTTGCAAGTCGACACGTCGACTTATTTAGATAAATGTATTCCTACGTAGTCGACTGAGTCACCGTTTTCAAACAGAGTAATTACACTGAATGATTGCCCAAAACTTGTTGGCCAGATTATACTTAAATCATTAAGCCGCCACTATGTTCACATACGATTATATTTCAGGGCACGTTAAGCATGATGTGAAAGTTCTTGGATTTTCTGCCCAGGACTTTGGCCGGTCGCACATGATTAAAATAAATTGTCCACATACGTAGGCTACATGTGGCAATATTTCGAGGTGTCTTTTTGGTTTTCTATGTTCCAGTTCTCTAGAGTCGGTTATAGGTACCTTAATACTTCAGTTATGTTGTCCTTGAATTGTTTGGGATGTTATTGGTTGATTATTTTGTTACTGTGTGCTACCGATTCGTCTGTCATCTTCGTTTTTTAAGGTGCTGAATGGATGAATTCGAAAGCTCCGTTCTAAGTCTTGGTTTTGTCTGATGTATTCATTTCGGAAGCGTCACTGTATACTATGCTGTTTATGTTACCATAAATTCAGTGGTTTCCTGGGCGAATTTTTGGAGAAAATGTGTTAGTGAGTACTAGATATCGCGACGAAGTTAAGGATTCTGAGTTTTAAAAAGATGATAACATATCATTCCTATGTTCAAGTACTTGACGTTTATATACTTGTGGTAGCTTATTTTGCGTGTCCAAAGGACTGGGTTTTTTGACTAAGGCATTTAGATACTATGGAGACTACTATATACTGAGTGCTGCGAATACCAGGTGTATAAATAAACCTAAGTCTAACGTATGACCTTATAAGGACCACACGTAAGCAGCCCGTATCACGGTTCGGAGGTTTGATAACAACTATCTTGCAGCCCTCTTATTAACTTAACAGACGATGTAATTTGAACAGTAACAATTCACGTATTTCTTTGCACCGTTATGATCACACGTCACTTACTAAAATGTTGATTGCTTATATATCACTCGATGGTTCATCCTTTTGCCCATGTATGTATGTACTCGAATCATATTAGCTTTTGCTGCACCCGTATGCAATTAGACTGCAAATTAGCCTATGTAATTTCTCGCATATACTTATTCGCCTCCGCTTCAAACTCACTCGATGTGCTTATATTTTTTTGATCTGCCCTGTCCGCAAATAAACTGCAGTTATTGCTTCTCTTTGCCTTCTGATTTCAAACACCATTCAGGTTTATATTATAACGGTTATCGAGGTGTTTGATCAACGAAGCAAAGACATTACAGTCTTACAAACTTGAATTATCATAAGCGAGCACTTGGCATATTTCATTTCTCCAATCTTGTGCTATCACAAGTTTCGAAGTTTTAGCCGACACATGCCTAAATTTTGTTCTCGATGGCATGGGGAATAATACACTAAAATCTAAGGAATATTTATGACGTTAATAGAAATAAAAGTCAGTGAGGTTTATGACAAATAACCATAACAATATGATTTACGGGTTTGTCACGTCAGATTTACTCATAAAGTTTGTTGCTTTGGCTGGATTGTTATTACGTCATCGTTTAATAGTGTTTCTGAAAAAAAGATAGAGAATAAGCGATTTAGTTTTGTTTACATGAGGATTTATGGGATGTAGATTCTAAAAAAGAGTAGGATCATGCATAACTTCGCAAATTTCGAGTAGTTGCACCTGCCCCTATATTCATCTTAGTACTGAGTAATCGCAATCGGATTTTATCATTTAATTGCTACCAAACTCTTCCAACCCAACCAGTTTTAAGGTCTGGAAAATATCATGTTGCTGATACTCAAGTTACGGATAAATAAGTGAGAGTCTGGTCCACCTATTACCCCTTCTTAATCTTTGAGGCATCCTGTATTTAATTTGTCTCCACTTGATACTTCGCCACTTTGTGTAATATCTCTTCTGACAAGTTGGTCTAATACCATGTCTTATCAGATCAAATATGACCCTCTCTGTAATGTTTGCTGTGAAGTGATGAATACTAAAAGGAAGCAATCCTGTATTCGCAATGACTCAAAACTTCATGAATTTATACATGATCATTGCGTAATTAGTGCCAGATATATTTCGTGGATGCAGGAAATAAACACTTGAACATAGTAATCACCACTTATCAATAATAGTACTTCCAATCTTTAATAAAACAGTGGGATTATATCTATCACCGTTTCAAAGGCATATAGTATTATCTTTCTTGGAGAAATTCTAAACAACTTATTAGGACTTTGTCATGTATTATTTATCACAATTGATTGATCACTGGGTGGTGATCAATGTCATGCTTGTCTAGTCCTTATTAGTGCAGATCGAATGCTATCGATCATGTTGCAATGTGGCCACCAGCCTGTTGACTACCTCCAACCACCATCTAATCTCAATACATAGTGCCCGCAGTGTCGAGTCACCTAGACTGGTGGCCACATTGCAACATGATCGATAGCATTCGATCTGCACTAATAAGGACTAGACATGCATGAGATTGATCACCACCCAATGATCAATCAATTGTGATTACATCTCACGGCTCGGATAGCTCAGTGGTAACGTCTCTGACTGTGAAGCTGGGTGACACGAGATCGAATCCGCCAGGGAGCACCAGTTCCCTCAAGATTACAGGTACACCTTGCTGACGAGTGCCAAGTAGCACGAAACCCGGGTCCAGGGTTTCCTGTTGACTACCTCTAACCACCATCTAAATATATTATTTATCTCAGATTGTCTGACCGAAAAAGGCTTCTGCTGTTCATTTGTATCGATCTTTGTTTTTCAGAATGTTCGTTTCTAATAACGTCTATTTTTCTGAGATTTTACTAATCATTTTCATATGGTTTTTAGTTTAAAATGACCGTAGCTTCAAAACAGTCAGACGGTAATTGCTGAGTATTATTTAGAATTTGGCGTTGTACGTTTTTTATATAAGGGGTGCTTTGTAGCTATTTGGCCGTACAAACCACTTGATTGGTTTCATTTATCTGCGAAAATCATGTGGTTTTCAGAAGCATAGATTAAACGGGGTAAAATCATTACAGTTATGCTTTCTCATACTCAGCTCTATGATCGCTTATCTCTTGGGAATTAAATAGATCCGTATCTTTTGTGCTTTTTCACGTAAAACATTAAGTCGCATGTTTTAAGTTAAAAGGTTTTTATTATGACTATCCAATTCGCTTCAACAAAATAGGTTACGATGATTAGGGCAAGAGGCTATTGGGAACTTCAGTTTGGAGTTAATTGATATGATGAACTGAAATAAGTTAGGGAACTAACAATCTGTGATTCCATAGCAGTGCATACTTAAAGTGATGCAAGTGGTCACACAGTACCTTCCGGTCTTGGGATGTGAACAACTCAACCGTAATCTGATGATTCAGGTTTCGTTAATTTGTGATCGAACACGACTATACATAATATTTATCTTACCCCAAACAACACTGAATTATGTTTAAATTGTGACTTAAACAGCTAGCTTACTGCTAGTGTAACTAATCCACCAAGTGTAAATTTATTTAGTCCGTTTCAAGTTTAATCTTATTTAGCCACCAGATGACTGTTCCCATCTATTCCGAATTCTAGCCCTCTGTTCTGATTTATTTAACAATAACCTATAACCAAGCGGATAAAAAAGTTAGTAACTTAGATGGGAAATATCCATAGTTTATATCAATTCAGAAAATATGGCAACTCAGGTATAAGTCTTCTTACTAAACTAAGACAACGTCAGAGAAGGCCTAAATGTAGACGGAAATGTTTTGTTAACGTAATTTTATTTACTTTAGTCAATTGTTCAACTATTCAAAGTCGCCAGTGCAGCTGTGTGTAGAAAAGATAAAAAGCACTAGTTGGTAACAAAGCGAATCGTGTCTGTTCCTTTACCCGTTATTCATTTAGAAAAACATCGATTTGGGTTTATGTTTTCTGTTTCACAAAGTGAGATTAATTTGACTCCTCAGTAAGCACTTCATCACCATCAACGTCTTTCAAGGGGCAAACGTCAAAAAGGATTAACGTCTAACATTTCTTGGACTAACATGAGAAAACGCGAAGGCGACACCTACCATCAATTGGCTCAATGCACATCATAGCGCCTGCACCTTCAGCACGTGGCTTTTTGTTTGATTTTGACGAATCAGAACGTTGACATTGTGACGCTAATGACCGTGATACTTTAAATCTCCATGGTTCTTCCATTCTCTCAGTAATTTTCATATTCTTGTAGGCCAGAGCTAACAGTTGAACCTATGAAAATGATTCATATGGATGTGCAAATAAGTTCTACCTTTTTTTGATTAGTAAATAGATCTGGTGTAGTCTCCATTTCTGAAGAAGTTAGGTTATCTTTAATGAACTTCGCTAGACATGATCTAGCATAGATTGGTAAGGAAAATTGGTATTCTAGATCTGTGGGGTCGAAGTTTGCTAGGCCTTCCTTCACTCTAAGGTTTTGTAACTGGAATATAGATATCGTACTTCTTCTTTGAAAATATTTCGTGAAGAGTGGTCAAAAGAATAATTCCTGCATTTCTTTTGTTATGGGCGGCACATTCAATAATATCTGGTGGAAGATAGATGCACAAACGTTGTAGTATCTAAGGTGAATAAAAAACTATTGAGTTAAAAACCTCTTGAATCATGTTCCAGTTATGTAGCTTGACTTTTATACTCTGTCCATCAATAAATTTCCCAAGATCCACCGTTTTTGGTTGGTAATTGTGCAAAATTTCAGCCACTAGAATACCATTGGAAACACACCTATTCGTCAGTTTATGGTAAATGCATTTGATGCTAACCATTTTAGGTTTCTGTGTTCCAGATTAATATCTAATGTTAGTAGCCAACGTAGCACTTCACGTGGTATTTCCGCCATAAGGTTGTTATAGTAGCAACTTTGTTGGACATCTTTAATTTGTATCAGACAAAAGCCTATATTATTCTCTCTCTCCTAACAGAGTGCAATTCGATGACTTATTTACGATGACTTGGGAAATTTGAGTAATTCAAGAGACGTACAGCATGTGGCGATTCATCTAGTATTATCAGCAATAATCCCTTCAGATCATTGTGTTTAACTTTTTTACCTTTGTTTTCCAATTCACTTATTGTTTCTCGATACACTTCTACTTGCACCGTCGTCAAAACTTTACGCTCCACAACTCCAAGTTCATTGACCTTTAAGTACTTCAGGTGAAGAGATCTTTAACGAATCGGTGAACGTAGAGTCACTAAAAATTTGATGAACCTCCTAAACCAGGCTACAGAGCTAAATACTTTCATCCGCTCAGAGTAATGGGAAAGAATAGGGGAACTTCTATGTTTTGTGCTACTCAAGTTAACCACATCAGTTGGCTTTCTAAACTCAATGTTTTTCAGTAGGTTGCGGACAGTCAGTTGTCATCTCAGGAAAATCCTCATGCACTAAGGCGGGGTACTTAAACCAAGGTTTGAGACCGATCTTTTTATGCATACCTTTTGAGGTCTGTCACGATCTTATGTAACTCCATCGTTCAGCCTTTCTGTACAGATGCACAATATTGATGCGATTGACTACATAGGCACTGAACCAACCATCAGTACCCGTAATGTAATACAACACTATTGTGACAGAAAAAGAACGATTATAATCCCTTTGCAGCTTTTTTGTTGTACAGTACTGTCATTTATTTGTTTCATCTCCCGGTTATGTAATTTAACCTTTGTTCAAATTTTGTTTGACCACACCTTTTGTTCTTTAGTCTTCCCCATCCGAGCCTTTATTATGTGATCTTGATTAAAAACTTATCTCTCTTTACCTTACTTTCTATTGCATGTTGCCGGACTATTGACAGTAAAGTCATGGTTTACTAAGCTCAAGGTCACGGCGTGGTTCAGTGTGTGACTGTTAACCCCTTGACAGTCTGCTTGAGAGGATTGCTGGAATCCCTGCAGATGGATATTTGATCCCGTCTTGCTTGGAATATTTTTATTGATTCTCAGATACCGATCCCTTTAATATTAACTGTTGCTTTTATTGTTTAGCGCGCTACTTTGCATTAGATAAACCGTTGACTGCAAAGCTTAGGCTGTACCGTTTTAGTTACTTTGTATTTTTGATATAATTTGTTCTATTTCCAAAATTAGAACCGTTCAAATTGAGCACAGAGTTTGCCTTTTGTTATGATTTAATTTGAGAATCTCAAAAACGCTTCGGAAGCAATACAGGAGAACATAGTCTGGCCTATTCGGATAAATTTTGGTTCGTCAGTCCTGCGTTCAAACCGAATACTAGCAGTTCGGTCGTTACAACTATTATAAAATGTGCATAAAAATTCACTTCAAGTAGAAAAACAAGGAATACTCCTCTCTAAGATCTTACTGATCCTTACAATTAACACGGCTGCCGCAATCTCCAGTCTCGGCACAGTAACGTGCTTGATCGGTGCTTCCAGAGACGTGTTACGAAACAAAATACAGTATATTGATTGCTTCGGATAACTATTATGTGGCAAAATCTGATACATCACTGAATAAATGTTGCTCTACCTTAGCGCCGAGTCCGTCAGTCCTTTCCCAAATCCCCTGAGACACCGCAACACGGTCTATGTGACATATAAAATTCAGCCATTTCAGCCAGGCTGGCAAATACGGCTTGCTGAGCACCTGATCCCAGTGTATCTGGGCCTTAAAAATCTTTCTCAGGTGAAGTTTAGCAGCTATGGCAGGTTGAACCAATTAGGCGAAGCGGGTTAGACAGAGAAGAACCGGATGATAAAACCCCTCATTTAGTCAAAGGCTTCTCCGGTGCATAAAATAGTAAAACTTAGAAACATATTAACAACAAGCATACTTTTGTGATATTCCAATGAGTAGAAATTGTATTTCCGACGCTTCATTCTCTAACAAACTATTGACGAAGGCTGGTCATATATCATATGCTAGTGTATTAAGATAAAACATTATAGCCTAGAGTTGTTTCGTTCTTGGTGGCGGGTAATCACGAGATCTTTGATATGACTTCACATGAATCCTTTGCGGCATTAATTAGGTTGCTCTGAAGTGGCTTCAATATACTTCCTAGATATTTAAATTGTGCATGTATGGGAGCATTTGTGGAATCCACTATGGGTTCTTAAGGAAAGCCAGGCTTGTGAATTTTTAGAGGCTCAAAGAAACGTGATGTAATGTTGGATCCAGGGTACAAGGCAAACCATAAGGAAACGTGAATGAAAGGCTTTAGTTATTTCGGTGGTGCACTTGTATTTGATTTAACTTTATTATCGATCACTTGATTTTTGGAGTCGATCTTCAAATGTGACCCTGTCGGACCCATTATGATGTTGATTAAACGAAACGTCAGAAATAAAATTTTCCACTAATTGTGATATCACATAAATAAATTAGACATTAATTTTTTACCCAATGCTCAGTTTGTTTGGAACTATGAAGTTCAACCTTGCCATTGACTTGTAGTGACTCACATTTATCACGAGAACACGACTGGTTTAATAAAAGCAATTATTATTATAACCAACTGTACCAGTGTTTGTTTTAACGTGCTTTTGTTTGACTGTGCTAATGAAAGCTATTTTGTGCTTCCGCCCTGATCCTCACACTTTGATTGTAACTTCGCGCGAATTCGGTTACGTTCTGTAACCAAGCTTGTATCCTGGCACGATCTCGGTATCCTTTCGATACCACGAGATCGCCAGCAAATATATATCGACTTGGTCCATTAACTGCCTTCTAATATTTGGCTTCTCGGAGATTTTATGGATCTATTTGGTTAGGTTCAACCCTCGCCTTCTGATTTATTTGGCACGTGTTTCTCTGAAGCGGTGTTCATAGTTAATCTCAACCCGACGCCACGCTACAGACTCCTCAACTACATGTTGTCTGAAATCTTATTCTGAGCCTAAGGTCCAGTGATAACCTTTTAATATGTTTATCAAAGACATGCACATCAGGCAAGAAGACCTTTGCTTCTTCCGTGTTCATTAGCCAATTCTCAATTTTGAAACCTGCTCCAGCTAATTTTTCATTTATTTTCATAACAATTTTCTCTGCCTGTTTCCGAGTGGAAAAGGATATCAAGAAGTCATATTCATGGGAATTATTCTTGTCGGCATCTACGACTAAACAACCATAACCAGAGCAGAATTTTCGGGCTGTCTTATTGGTAGCAAAGTTTGCACAAAACAGCGGTGACGTTTTCCCATGGATTTATAACCATCATCAGGATCGTTTAACAGGAGCAGAGGTTGGAGCACCAAAAATACCTAGATGGTACTAAAATGCACAAAACATATTTCAACTAGCCGTCGAAGAAATACAGACAGTGAGCAACGATCAAATGGCTAATTTTGGACGGCAGCAGTGGAAGTCTAAAGAATAACTTGCACTAACAATTAAAATATGATTTCTTAAAAACGTGGAAAATAAACTCAGCAAAAAGTAATGAGGCATACAAATCACTTTTAAAAACCAGTTCACAAACATCGTAAACTGCGTTATGGGTACAAACTTGTGGTGGACCAGACGACATATAAACGCAAAAAATATCAACAAAGTTAATAAAGATCAACAGAAATGTTAATATATGTATAAGTTAATTAGTTTCTTTTTCCCCATATCTACCAGTAGGTTGTAAGCACCAAGAAAGTCGGCCCCGAGAATGGGTTTTTTGATTTCAGCTACGATGAAAACCCATGTGAAACGTCTGCGGAGACCGAGATTTAAGATAAGTGATTGTTCGCCATAAGTTTTAATGACTGTGTTATTGGCTGCGACTAGAGACAATTTTGTACTCTGAGAGTGCCGTCGTTGAGAGAGGTGTAATGGGACAATGCTGATTTCGGCTTCTGTATTTGCTAGCCAGCAAGAGTATGTCACGTTATGTCAGTATCACAACGGAAAGTATGTTCAAGGTCATTTACTAAAATAAAAGGTACAATCATTTAATGATAAAATATACAGACAGTGGAAGATTGACAAAATAAATACAAATAATATTAAAAACTATTTACAAAATAAGCTTGTCAGGCCTATCTCCACAAACTATTCACATTGAAACACCAAAAACTACAACCAAACCATAAACTGAATGAAACAAATTTAGAACGAATTATGGAATCTATAATGACTGGCAGGGATGATGTGTAATATGCAACATGATCAAATATCTTAAATTACCGTAAGAGTAAATTCACGAAAGAGAAACATGATGATTCTTCGACTAATCAGTGTTCAGCTAACTGTGATCCTCCTAATCAACTTTCCTGATCCAACCAATCAGTAATTATAAATCAAAGGTCGTTTTTATCTTTCCATTACTAATGTCACATTACTCTACTCTACTGTAAGAGTTTTCTTCAGTCGATTTTATTGAATATCAGCTGGTGTAACAATAGTTCTGTTGTAATTGGCTATATAGTGTGGCTGGGTGACACGTGTTTAAATCTGACGAAATAGGTGTTCATCTATGATGTGTTCTAACTAGCACGAAACTTTAGTCGTCGTTTAATTTCGAATACTTCCAACAATGTGACTCATTTGATATGACTATTTATAACAGGAAATCTTTGAGAACTATTATTTATGATTCATCTAAATTTATCAATTTAATTTGAATCTGTTTCTATTAAATGAATAGAAGTTGGAAATTTTTTGAGATTTCTCCTATTACTGTTAAAAGTTAATAAAATTTACATATATATAGTTAGATGACCCAATTACTGAATTCCGATGGTCTGAAAATTGTGTATCTTCGTTACAAATTTATTCGAATACGTCATCATTGTGATGAAACCTAAATAATCTTAACGATAGTTTGATTGTACAGTCACTTTATTCCAGAATATTTAGTAATTGTTATATCATTCAAAGTATATTTCTCTAGTTGGAGAAT